GTGTGTGTGTGAGAGAGAGAGAGAGAGAGAGAGAGAGAAAGAGAGAGAGAGAGAAAGGGAGAGAGAGAGAGGAAGGGGAAGATGTGGTGGTGGGAGATGGGGGGAAGGGTTAAACGCTAGTGAATCGATATATCAACCGAAAAGACTCGCAGTCAATCAGTAGGTCTTTATATTGCTACCTTAGAATTACAAAGTTCTATGACATTTTTTGTGGTTTTGAGTGTTTCTATGAGACCATGAGGTCTGAAATCAAAGGTTCTATCTGCTCTGTCAAAATTGTAAGTTTATTTGGAGTCGCTATATAAAAATATTCAACGAATTGCATTCGAAAAAGGTTGACATGTGAAGCTCAACTTTTTTTATACGTCAAATTTCTCAAAACTAGATACTTAGCTGATAGAACTTTGAAATTCTAGGGCAACAATAAGTCAGTCAATCAGTGGTTCTTTATGAGTCAGTCAATCAGTCAATAAGCCATTTAATTAATCGGTCAATCTCTGTACGTTTCCCAGTCTGACAGTGACCCTCATATGGATAATACTGTCCACAACCCACCAACCTACATGTGGATAATACTGTCCACAACCCACCAACCCACATGTGGATAATGCTGTAAATAACCCAACAGCCAACATGTTGGTACTACCATTGAAAAGACAGTCTATTTTTTGTGAGAAAATGGTCGGCCTTCCCAGTGAAGGTTTCACTTGAATGATGAAGGTGAGAGGTGCTTAGTTACAGTTTTAATACGAGTTTTACCACGGCACTTACAATACAACAAGTAGGTCATATAAACGCCGAAGACTACAGGCGTTACTAGAGAGTAACATACAGAGAAAAGAAGAAGGGGGAGAGATTTAACAGTACATGTCTCTGTACACCACCAATAGTACCACAATACAGCGCCTGCCAACCACCCACTGTGAGAAAGGCAAACAATGATCGTTGGCTATGAGTTATCCTGCAGCTTGATCGAGAGAAGGAGCAGACCACACCAGAGCACCTGCTAACCACCCTCGTTTAAGTTGAGTGCAGATTGAGTAGAGAGAAATATACTGACAAAATAACGGTCATGCAGTGCCGGGAAGAAGCGAGATAGATACACAGAAAGAAAGAAAAAAAGTAAGACCTACCAGTGGCTCCCTCCAACCACTCACAAGAGATATAGAAACAACAGAGGAAAAGAAAAGAAGTAGGACCTACCAGTGGCACCCTCCAACCACCCACACAGACAGAAACGACCGAGGGAAAGAAAAGAAGTAGGACCTACTAGTGACGTCCTCCAACCACATATGTCGCTTGCTTGTCCACACACAAACACACACACACACACACACACACACACACACACACACACACACACACACACACACACACACACACACACACACAAGAGAGAGAGAGAGAGAGAGAGAGAGAGAGAGAGAGAGAGAGATTGCAACTTTCCCTTTCATATTCTGAGTCTCTTTACAGCCTCACTTCGACAAACCACTCCTGGGGTGAATAAAAGTAATGTTTTACGCCCCCAAAGACACAATTTGGGTCATGCAAGAGGACGAACCGCTTCAACCCGAGCTTTGAGGATACAACATCCCAGACGAAAGCACGAGTAATTCGGGTTGACCCCCCCCCCCACCGAAACTACTTCATGTAGGAATCAAACTCACCTCTCTTGCATTCAATGCAAAGAGCTTAACCAACATACCACAGACGCCTGTCTCTCTCTGTGTGTCTGTCTGTGTGTCTGTCTGTGTGTCTGTCTGTGTGTCTGTCTGTGTGTCTGCCTGTCTGTCTGCCTGTCTGTCTGTCTGTCTGTCTGTCTGTCTGTCTGTCTGTCTGTCTGTCTGTCTGTCTGTCTGTCTG